AAATACTGATCCCTTTAGTTGATCTAGCAACTTCGATTCCAAGGAAGTATTTCAAGTCACCAAGATCTTTGAGCTTGAAATGACTATTCAGAAGAGTTTTCAAGACTTGAACTTGCATATTATCATTGCCAACTATCACAATGTCATCAACATAAACTAGAAGAGCAAGGAAAACCTCACCTTGTGTCTTGATAAATAAGGATGAATCAACCTTTGATTGCTGAAAACCATTCTCGGTCAGAACACTGGAAAATTTCAAGAACCATTGTCTTGATGCTTGTTTGAGGCCATATAAAGATTTGTGTAGCTTGCAAACAATATTTGAATGTATAGACTCCCCTTCATGGTGATATCCAGGTGGAGGAAGCATATAAACTTCCTCGGTGAGGTCACCATGCAAAAAGGCATTATTGACATCCAAGTGAGTAAGAGACCAGCCCTTAATAGCAGATAAAGCCAGAAGGAAACAGACATAAGTAATCTTGGCCACGGGGGAGAAGGTATCAAAATATTCGATCCCTTCTTGTTGGGTAAAACCTTGAGCAACCAATCTGGCTTTGTATCTCTCTAAAGAACCATCTGCATTAAGCTTGACTTTGTAGATCCATTTACTACCAATTGGGCACTTGCCATGAGGGAGAGGAACCAGAGACCAAGTCTTATTTGCTTCCAAAGCAGATATCTCTAACTGCATAGCAGTGCGCCAGGAAGGAGTTTTATTTGCTTCATGAAAGGAAGAAGGTTCAGGGTGCAAAGTGATTGAATTAATAAAACCAGCATAAGAGGGAGACAACCGAGATGCTGATATAACAGAATGGAGAGGATAATTGATGGAAGATGCTACTGAGGAACAGAGGTAGTCTTTGAGGTAAGTAGGAGGATGTACAATACGAGTAGAGGTCTTCAAAGGAAGAGGAGGAGAATTATGAGTAGGCAATACTGTATCAGAAAAAATATCAGTGGAAGGAGATGGTGGTAGGTGGGTAAAAGGGAATTCTGTCTCATGGAAAATGACATCACGAGATATAAAAACTCTGTTGGTTGACAGATCAAGTACCTTGTAGGCCTTGTATCCAGGAGGATATCTAAGAAAAACCACTGGGATGGCTCTGGAAGAGAACTTATGGCGATCACGAGGCAAGGTGGAAGCATAACACAAGCATCCAAAAGTGCGCAAGTGATCATACAGAGGAGGTTTTCCCATTAAGACCTCAAAAGGAGATTTATTGTCCAGCAAAGGAGTTGGTAACCTGTTGATCAAATAAGAGGCTGTGAGTACACAATCAGTCCAGTAAGGAAGAGGAACATTTGATTGAAAAAACGGTGATCTAGCCACATTAAGCAAATGCTGATGCTTCCTCTCAACCACAACATTTTGTTGGGGACGATCCACACAAGCATGTTGGTGAACAATACCATTTCCCTTGAAGAAGTCAGTAAAATTGAATTCAGGGGCATTATCTGATCGGACAGATTTAATATGAGCATTAAAATGAGTAGCAATCATGGTATAGAATTCAGGAAACACTCGCAAGACATCTGATTTAGTCTTGAGAAAATAAATCCAAGTGAACCTGCTGCAATCATCCACAATAGTTAGAAAAAAACGGAAACCATCAACAGAAATGGTGGAAAAGGCGCCCCAAACATCCATGTGAATTAAGTCAAAAGGTAAATTTGAAGTATTATTATGAGAAACAAAAGGCAATCGCCTTTGTTTGGACAAAGGACAAACAAGACATGTGTGAGATGCATCAGAAACTAATGATAAGCGTAATACATCTTTTAAAGCTTGTAAACGGGAAAGGGAAGGGTGACCAAGGCGTTGGTGCCAGAGAGAGCAGAGATTATTTGACAAGACATGAGCCTCATGACTAAGAGGTGGTCCAGCCAAAATATAAAGATTGTCGTGTCGATCAGCAGTCCCAATCTTGTGCCCCGTAGTAGGATCCTGTAAAACACAAGATGAAGAGGAAAAAGAAAGAGTGAGGTTAAAATGAGAGGTCAAGGCACTGATGGATAAGAGGTTGTAATGAAAAGCTGGGACAAATAAAACAGAGGAGAGGGTAATATGTGTAGATAAACGAACGGAACCAATGCGAAGGACAGGAATGGATGTACCATTTGGCAAGTTGACAGAAAAATCAGTAATAGGATGTGAAGATAGGAATGAATTGAGGTCACAGCAGACATGGTGTGTGGCCCCTGTGTCCAAGATCCAAGAAGAAGAAGAAATTGTAGGGGACTCACCAGACACATGGGCAACAGAGGAAACTGACGCAGACGAATCTAACCCAGATTCGATGGCGGTGGCAGACGGTGAAGGAGACTGAGACGAATGAAGAAGGGCAAGCAACTGAGAGACTTGCCCTGGGCTGAGGGTTTGATTTGGGCTGATCGGCCCAATCGAATTAACACAGCCAGCTTTGGATGGGTGGGGATTGGAGTTGTGGGCTGGCCCAGATCCTGTTGAGGTCCGTTTTCCCTTGTAACCGGGTGGGTACCCATGGATCCGAAAACACTTTTCAATAGTGTGCCCATTCATGTTGCAATTGGTGCAATAAGGACGCCTCTGCTTCCCCAAAACCTGCGCCGCTGTCGTCTCAGTCACAGGAGCGGCATGGACGGCATTCATGGTAGAATCACTGGAAAGAAAACCAGAATGAATGTTTCGTTGTCGTTCCTCCTGAATCACCAGAGAGAAAACTTTCCCAAGAGAAGGTAACGGTTCCATCAACAATATTTGGGCTCTGGTAGAGGAAAAAGATTCATTCAAACCCATCAAAAATTGTAGGGAATGTTCTTGCTCACGGTAGAGAGTCCATGGTTTCATGCCTCCACAATGGCAGCTGGGAACGGGTTCGAACTCCTTTAATTCGTCCCAGAGAATTTTCAGACGAGTGTAGTAGGCGTTGACGTCAAGAGAACCTTGGACCAATGTTGTAATCTGAGATTTCAACTGGAAAATACGAGGGCCATTACCCTGTTGAAACCGTTCTTTGAGATCGATCCAGATGCTGGCTGCCGTGGGTGTGTAGAGAAGGCTGTCTGCAATCTCACGGACCATTGAGTTCAGCAGCCAAGAAGTCACCATACTGTTGCAACGAGTCCAGAAGGAGCTAAGTAAATCATCCGGATCGGGTTGAGGAATGGATCCATCGATGAACTGAACTTTGTTTTTGGCAGTGAGGGCCATTAACATGGCTCTGCTCCAAGTGTGATAATTGGTTCCGTTGAGAAGATGCGTCACAAGCACAAGTCCCAGATGATCTGCGCTATGCAGGTAGTAAGGACTGGACACATCCTCAATGGCAGAAGACGATGAGCCACTAGGTGGCTTGGGTTGTTGGCCTTTGGCCATGACAGAGAGAAACAGAGGATAAACGAAAGCAATTTAGCTCTTGATACCATATTACAAGATAATGGAATAATCATCTTTTTCATTAATTGTCACTGTTTACAAAAGAAATCTATATATACAGAAGATGGAAAGGAATAACCGTAAGTAGAAAACACACCTCATACCCGTGAAAAGAGGGCCAGAATAACAAACTCTAACAAACCTCAGGTATTCTAGAAGCAGCTAAAAACTAAATGAATAAGAATCAAAATAATACCAACAACTATTCAGACCATAAAACAGAATTAAAACTATTTATTCTAATAAGATATATACCTATATGGTATAAATGAATTTATATTATTTTAATAATGGTAAAGGAAAGATACCTACCTGGAGTTTACGGTAAACAAACAAGCAAGTTGTAATTCAAATCTCAATAAAATGAATAACATCGACCAATTAAAGGGGATGAAATATCATAAATATAAAAAAAAATTATTTTAGTCTCATAAAACATAGAAAATCAAGTGGGGAAAAGTGGGGAAAAAGTTTGAATTTTAAACTTAGGTATTAAAATTAAAATACGATATAAATTACAATATCTATCAAGTATCCAGTATGGTATCGGTATCATTTACGTATTCAATACTGGTACAGCGTACATTTTATAGTATACATTCTTCTTAACCTTTTTTCGGATCAAAAAGTGATTGCTACTTACGACAAAGTTCTCCCTACTAAGTTTTAACACATTGTAGTAGAAGGAACTCAAACTCAAGATCATTAATTAAATCGGAACAATCTCTTACCAATTAATCCACGTATTTGGTAATTTTAAGGGTATTTATAAATAGCCTATATATCAGAAATTTCTGACGGCGAAAATCAAACTTAATCATTGCAAGTGAAGTGTTTGGATCCTTTCTAGTTAAACCAACTAACATTGGTATCACTTCATATATAACTTAAATAATACATAATGGAGAGAGACATACGTACAAATAATATTTACAAAATGTTTCCATAATAATAATAATAATATTTACAAACATTATTAATATTTAGAGTAAAGTCCATTTTTCGTCCCTAACAAAAAACACGGTTCTCACCTTTATTCCTTACAAAAAAAAAAAAGTCAATTTTGGGTCCCCCTACAATTCCAGTTCTTTGAAAATGTGATCTCATAGAAATTCAATAAATACCCAATTCAGTCCCTAAAAAAGACTAATATAAGTATTTTTTTTGTACGGGACAAAAATGGAGAATGTATTTTTTTGCTAGGGACCCAAAAGAGACTTCACTCTAATATTTTAATAGTATACGTTGATGCACATAGTCACGTAGACACATAAATGACACATTCATGAACGTTTTGGGTACAAGCCCGTATGGAACAAAAGTCAGAGAGTACCTGAGAGATCCTTTCGTCTAAGTCTCTCGTATCATCCCATACCGTAATACCCTTATGTAGATTAGGAACAAATGCTAACATCATTTTCATTTCTTTGTCTATAAATACACAATCTTAACATGACATTGCTCCTCAACAATTCCACAAAGCAAGCTCTAGCTAGTTATAGCCATTTTCAAAACAACATTCTAGACCTTCATTTCAAAGAGCATCTATTCTCAATAACACACAAAGGGAAAAGTAATAATGGCCCTCCACAGATATGTCTTATTCCTTGTCATCATGGTTTCGTTTGGTGCTTGTTATGGCACCTTGCAAGAGGACAACCTTAGTTTATATGTTGAGGATTCACCCTACATTGATGATGGTAGCTCATTCAAGGACTTCATCAAGCCAAGTACAGATGTTCTGAGGACTAATTCTCGTTCGCTTAAAATGGTCAATGTCAATAATTATGGAGCTGTAGGAGATGGTAGAACTGATGACACACAGGTACATATTTTCACCAAGCCCAAATCAATGTTACATGAAAATACTATTTTTTTTCATTCTTCTAGTTCTTTTCATTCCTATCTTAGCAAAGTTGAATAGCTTTTATATGATAACAGATTTAAGGGAGCGGCAAGGATTGACAGTCTTCTCTCCCTAAATTTTATTTGATTTATTATATATACAAAATGATATTTTTGTAATAATAATAGACTATTAGTGCTAATAGTTAACCCCTCTTAACAAAAATACTTGAAATAATTAGGCCCTCCCAATAGCCTTAATAACACTTATAATTTTTTTTTATTTTAATTTTTCCCCCATCATAAAAAATCTTGGGCCAGCCACTGTTTGTACACAGAGTTTGCCCTTTGCCCCCTTTATTCTTTTCCTAGCAAGATTTATTAATTTTGTGGTTAACAATTGAAAAAAATGATAGTATTTGCTCTCATGGCTATGTGGGTTATTTCAGGCATTCAAGAAGGCTTGGCAAGTAGCATGTTCTTCTCGTGGAGCATCCGTTCTTGTAGTGCCTAAGAAGAATTATCTACTCAAGCCAATCACATTCTCTGGCCCTTGCAAATCCAACATCACAGTCCAGGTTTGTTACTATGAAAATTGCTAGTTAGTTCCCAATTTTTTTTATATTTTTAAGAATTAACTAATTAAACTTCAAGCAACCTATAACTGCATGATATCAGAAACAGTAACTTAATTATAATTGACTACAAATTACAAGTCAAATATATAAATTATGATTATTTAATTTGTTTACATATAATGTAATATTTTTATAATTAATGATTATAAATCTTGACTACTCATTCATAAATCTCTATTATTTGGGATAATACAACATTTCAGATATCTGGAACTCTTGAAGCATCAGATAATCCATCTGATTATGGCGAAGACCTCAGACACTGGCTTTTATTTGAAAGTGTTCAGAAACTTTCAGTCAAAGGTGGTGGAACCATCAATGGAAATGGAAAAATATGGTGGCAAAACTCATGCAAAACTCACCCAAAGAACGTAAGATACGAGAAAGCACAACAATATTGTTATCCCTTTATTTGGTACATAAATCCTATTCAAATGCTAACCATTATTTTCATATTTCTCTCTTTTGCAGCCTTGCAAGCATGCCCCTACGGTATGTATAGCCTTCTCACAAATATAATTTAGATTATTCAATCATAAATGTTGATCAACTTGCATAAAATGGGTAAACTCTGGTGCACAAGTTACCGGACTTACGAGGGTAGGGACGAGAGTCAATTATATATCTTTTTATCCTTGTATCTTTGCAAAGAGATTGTTTCTCATACTCAACCCGTGATCTTTTAATCACGAGGAGCAACCTTGCCACTTTTCTAAGGCTTGCTCTCGATCTACTTACACATAAAATCTCTAATTTATTAGTCACGTAAATGTTAAACGCAAGCGGAATCAACGACTAATATTAAAAGTATCATATTAAAAGTGTAACTAAGACCGATTTAAATGTCTCTATATGTGTTATATTTGAATTTTAACCATAGTTTGCCATTACAGGCCGTGACTTTCTATAAGTGCAACAACTCTATAGTTGAGGATTTGACGATAAAAAATGGCCAACAAATCCATGTCTCATTCGAGGACTCCAAGAATGTTAAAGTTTCTGGTCTCACTGTGACAGCACCAGAGGATAGCCCAAACACAGATGGAATTCATGTTACAAATACCCAAAACATTCAAATTTCTAGCTGCGTTATAGGAACAGGTATTCTTAATTGATACTATCCCATATTTTCAAGACAATAAAAATGGTATATTAAAGTATTAAAAAAAATTAAATCTTTCTCTTTCTTAATCCCTTTTGGTTTCAATATTTTGCAGGCGATGATTGTATCTCAATTGTTGATGGATCCAAAAATCTACAAGCTACAGACATAACTTGCGGACCAGGCCATGGTATCAGGTATTTAATTAATTACCTTCAATAATATCTTAATCTCGTATCAGCATCAACATTATCTTTATCCCAAACTAGTTGGATATCTCATACCAATATCAAATTTAATAATTAAATATTGATTAAACTTTGCACATGTTAACAATTGAAAATGTGATTATGTTTGCAATTATGATTTCAGCATCGGAAGCTTAGGGGCTGGGAAATCCAAGGAATTTGTTTCAGGAATAGTGGTGAACGGAGCTAAGCTTTCTGGAACTACAAATGGAGTAAGAATTAAGACATGGCAGGTAATTTGAATTCTGAACAATTTTAATCACAACCCACATTCAATAATATTTGTATATTCTTACATATAAATTGCAGAATTCAATAAATTTCTTTTTTTGGTCTAATTAGTATATATGTATATATGTATGCAGGGAGGGTCAGGAAGTGCAAGCAACATCAAGTTTCAGAATATTCAAATGAACAATGTGACCAACCCCATAATAATAGATCAGAGCTACTGTGACCAAAAGAAACCATGCAAAAAGCAGGTATATTATCAAACAAACTCTAGCTATTACTAGCAAATTCTACTACTATACATAATTTTGTTTATTTAGTGATGAAAAGTTAATTCAATCTAAAAGTTTAAAACTAAGATAAATAATTATTTCAACGCTAAAGATTAAACTGTTAGATGAAAACATATTGATGATATATTATATTTCTTTAACATGCCCCCTGTACACGATATTCTTATTATATCTCTAACTGATTTGGTCTTGTCCTTGCAGAAATCCGCGGTTCAAATTAGGAATGTGTTGTACCAGAACATAAAAGGCACAAGTGCTTCTGATTTGGCTGTGCAATTTGATTGCAGCCAGAACTTTCCATGCCAGGGTATAGTGTTTCAGAACATTGACCTGAAACTTGAAGATGGAGGAAAGGCTAATGCTTCATGCAACAGTGTTAATTTGTCCTACAGAGGAAATGTTAGTCCTCGCTGCCCATAGAAAGAGAGGGAAAGGCATTTATAAATATTTACCGCAGCATAGAATGACTTGTAGCATGAAATTCTATATGCAATATTGCAAGGATACGTATACATGTCAATTTATTTGCTTTGTACAAATGTTCAACCAATTAGGCTTATTCATATGTGACGAATAATGTGATTAGTGTGTCATTATTTGTACCTTATGCTATAAATAAAATCTTACTCATTATTTTATTTTGTGATTTGCGAAATTGTATACAAGCTTCGATGTAAATAAATAAGCAATCTCCACAAACAAAATTTGAATAATCAATGTTAAGTCTTTATTAAGGAAGTATTGTATATTGTAATTTAATTTTTCATAAGATAATTATGAAGACTGAAAACTCCTTGTTAGAATTCTGTGTTTAAATTTTTTACAAAATGTACCAATTAATCATGTAAAGAGTTTAATATTGTAGGGGAATTATATAATTGTAAACACTAAAAACTCTTAATGTAAATAACACATCTTATTACTAAATGCGCTCTTAATATCTCCTAACGAAGAAGTTAACTTAATCTCAATTGATGTTAATATTAATTAAAAAATATGTCGTATTATACAACTGAAAAATTTGTAGAAAATTGAAGAAATTTTGTCACAAAGTTAAAGGCTCCAACAAAATGAGGTTTTCTTCTTCTTCTTTGAATATCGATACTTCCTTCTTCTTCTTCTTTTCACGTTTTCATCACAATCTTCTTTATTTTTATAATGCTGAAAATAAAAATGATATACTTTTCTTGAGATAGGCCGAAAGGTGCCTTGTTGAGTGCAGTTTCCTAACAACGTGTTGAAGGCAGTTTGCATACACAATAATAACAAAATTGTTAGAAAATGAACAGAATGGAGAATAATTCATATCTATGTATTTCCTTCATTCACAGTAATATATGCATGATTTGAGAGTTCCTATCTGCTATACACAAGGAAACAGAATAACAAGAAATAGATAAGTCTTATCTGCTATACATCATAAAACAGAATAACAAGAAATAGATAAGTCCTATCTAATATAAATCACGAAACATAATAACAATAAATAGATAAGTCTTATCTCAATTCAACTTAAATCTCCTACATTTGCTACAACAAACTGATCAAAGATTATCTAAAAAACAAGCTTCTAGATGTAATTCGACACTCCCCTTCAAGTTAGAGCATCAATATCTATTATGCCCAACTTGCTAATTGCATTTTTGAAACTTGTTCCTATCATGGCTTTAGCAAGTTGATCTTCAGATTTAAAAATGGGAAGTGTATACTCTTTTTGATCTAACTTCTCTTTAATGAAGTGCCGGTCAACTTCAACATATTTGGTTAGATCATGTTGAACTGGGTTGTGTGCATTTTCAATAGCAGCTTTATTATTGCAGTGCAGATTAATAGGCTGGTCATGACTAACTCCCAAGTTTTTAAGACGCTTTTGATCCACAACAACTCACAAACCTCATGAGCCATTTCTCTAAATTCAGCTTCTGCACATGATCTTGCTACAACTTTTTTCTTTTTACTTTTCCAGGTAACTAGATTTCCTTGCACAAAGGTGAAATAACCAAAAGTAGATTGCCTGGTAATTTGGTTTGCTTCCCAATATGAATATTTGTATCCCTCAATGCAAGAAGTGTTATTTTTTAGAATAATAACCCTTGGCCAGGAGAACCATTTTAGGTACCTTAGGATTCGATACACAACACTCATGTGGTCTACGCTAGGAGCATGCATAAATCTGCTCACAACGCTCATTGTATAAGCTATATCTAGGCTGGTATGTGATAAGTAGATTAGTCTTCTAATTAACCTCTAATACTTGCCTATATTTTTTATGGAGATAACAAGGAAAGAAAATAACAAATAACAAAAAGATTAAATCCTAGTTAGTCTGGGGAGAGATTAATACTAGCACGACTTATCTACTTGTATTCGAATACAAGGTAAAGACCTCATGAGCTACAGATATGGAGATGTCTTAGCTAAAGTCGTGGGTGGACCTATAAGGGTATAGCTCACACTGAACAGACCCACAAAGAGACTCTATGAGGAAATCTTACAAAAGTATCATTAGAGCGGTCTCTTAATATTTGGGTATGTCTTTTCTTAGACCATAAGTTGTCACCTAGACTGTGTTCTAGAAGGCATATTTTGATTGTATACCTCGTCTGCCTGAAACATGGAGACTCATAGGTATCTTTTGGGCATGTCCTGAAAGAACACAGGCCTAAGGTGATAGACTAAAGGAATTCGTCAAATCTCTGTAAGGGATTAGGTTATCTGTAAACCGGAGAAATCGGGATGACATTTACAGGACTCAGGAATGTATGCATAGTAAAAGAGATCATGAGATGATCTGCCTTTAGAGTCAGTAAATTGAAGATTCCCTATTTCGAATTAAAGCTTACCCTAAACCGCAAGGGTTGATACATTTCCTCACCCTAGGAGAAGTTTGGACCTGATAAATATTATTAGCCCAAGAAAAAGTTTGGAAGCCCCCTTAAGAGGGAAAGGGCGCATGGTACATGTAATGTGCTTGGATGGTCCAAGACATTATTAATTAATTTAATTAGTTGAATTAATTATCAAATATTTAAATTTTGAATTTAAATGTTTGAACGTTTGAATTTAAATGTTTCAATTCGAATTTGAATTGGCTATGAAAAGTTGTTTCATAACAAAAGGATAAGATAAGATCTTGTTGGAACAAATCCCAAGTATCAAGAGGAGATCTTTGCGCATCATCCAAGGCTGATTTGGGGCGCTGATTTTGGGGTCTTATGATGGTCATATGATCAACCAAATAAGCTCCAATCAGATTTGGTTGGTTGAGAGAATAAGTGAGTGAGTTGGTTCAAATTTGAATACAACTACTCAATGTATTTGGACTCTTTTTGGGCTGAATAAGGGCGCACCATATGGCTGGCCATATGATGGTTATTAAGTCAGATTTTTGACTAGGTATAGACTTAGTCTCATGAGGATATGATAGGAGGTTGTTGGCTAGATTTGAATTGCAACAACTCCACTTATTCCTCCACCATTGGGCGCTACATAGGTCAGATTTTTGGGAGAAAAATCTGATTCAATTCAATCATTCTCTCATCTTCAAGTGTGCTTCCTTTTGTGAGGTTCTCTTTAGGGATTTCGAAAATTACCTACCCTTTTCTCATAGAATCCATGCGCCACTTTGTGAGTTTTTCATGCTGAAAAATTCACTCATCTAAATACATTAACCTTGCCTCCTTCTTCTCCTATTGGGACGCCTAAAGTGCCTTCCTTGTGGTGTTCGTTTGGTGGCTTTTCAAGAAGGGTTCTTGCATCTTGACGTAGGGTGGTGAGGATCAACGTTAGAGGGTTTGAACCTTCAAACCTAACACTGATCATCTTGGAGTTTTGAATCACGAACAAGGTACATCGAACTGTCTTAAAGCATGTATGTTGATTAGCATGTGTGATTTCGCTTTGAAAATTTTTTGTTTTCATCCTCACATGCCATCGGCCTTCAAGGCCATTTTCTTTCAATCTGCACCTCTAAAGACACCACCACAACTCATTCTACCAGCAGCTAAATCACAAGCACCATCTGCATTTAACTTCACCCAACCATCTATAGGGAATTTTCAGGAGATAAGAACTTCCTTCTTTGTTTTTGGAATCAGGCTCGCAAATTTCAACAACTGGTTAGCATGCTCAAAGCCATTTATATTACCTTTTTCCCTATACACCAAGCCAAAAGGGTTGATGCTTTTGCCATTTAAAAACCCTGTTGTTTTGTTCCTGCCATAAAGAACAACATACCATACCAAAAAGAGACCTCCAATCAATTTGGTCTCCATGCTTTTGGTGATCACCTAAGTTGTACGAGAGCTAGTCATTAAAATTCAAGCTGTAGAAATCGTCTCTGGAATGTTGCAGAAGAAGAGAATTCCAAACTTATCTAGCAAAGGGACAATTTTCAAAAAATAAGGAGAGAATCCTCAACAGGAAAATGGCATCTTAGGCAAGCAGAATCTTGGAACATATGCCTTCTAACTCTATGACAATTTGTTAGAAGTTTATCATCCAAAAGAAGTCAGAGAAAAGTTGAAACTCTTTGGGGACGTCTCCAATTTTTAAGAATCTTACCTGAAGAGGAGTTTGATCTGGAATCGATACTACACAAGGAATTACAAGCTAACTTAGAGAGGCCCCAGATGACTCAATCTTCACCATGCACAGGGAAGGGGGGAATAGAAGCAACAATACAGTCGCAAGTCTCTTTCGGAAGAAGAGGAGACATATGATTCCAACGCTATAGCCCTTCAGAAGTTACATAATGAGCCACACTGAGGTTAAGGATATCTTACGAGATCTCTCTATTAGCCGTAAAGTCTCAAGGGACAAAATTCTTTTAGCCATATATTAGTCCAAAATTTGGTTGTGAAATTGTTACCAATCAAGATTCTAAACCCATTGGAGATATGATTCCAAGAGCCCTTGACACCTTTCCACATGTTAGATCGATTTTTGGCCCTGCTGATAGAGGGGATAAAGTCTTTCCCCACATTGTACTTACCTCTAAGGACTTGCGCCCAAAGAGAATCTTTCTTTGTCAACAAACCATGACCTATTTTCATAAGCATGGCACTGTTGTAAGGCTTGAATTTTTTCACTCTTAACCTACCTTTCTCAGAAGGTGAACAAACCACATCCCATTTAATAAGGTGAACTTTCAGTTTCTTCGTAGTGGACCCCCAAACAAATTATCTCGTCTCTTTCTCAATTTCATCACAAACCAAGAAAGGAACTAAGGTAGACTGCATTGAATAAGAAGGGAGGGCAGCAAGAATAGAGTTGGTAAGCGTGAATCTACCTGCTAGGGACAAAGAAGACAGGTTCCAAGCATTAAGTCTCGATTTGACCCTGTCCAGCACATGAAAAAATGGCTTTGTTGACTCTCTTGTGGTTGAGAAGAACTCCAAGGTATTTGCCAAGATCACCAG